TTGTCTGACCATGGGTGAGTTGTTTATAGCTGGGGGGTCTCCGTTGTCAAGCCTGCGCCCCATCTCGTATCTTCCATACTTGTACTCCTCTACACTGCATCCCACGTCTCCACTCCTCCAGGCCTTCGCTAAGATACCAGTCCTGTATTTCTCTATAGTACGTTATTATAATAGAGTCATAAAACCTGGGTGGCTCCATACAATGACAAAGAAAAGTAAATCAATTAGCCATAGCCAGCTGGTCAATTAGAAAAATTGCTGTTGCAGCTAAACTAAATGTGACAAAGCTGTGGACAGGCCAAGGGAAGCTCAGACAGAGCAAGCCTCGACAAGCCTCAGTCCTGAGGCCTTGCAAACTCACTACAAAGCCCATCACTAGCGGTGGCAATACATACAGTATTGCAATACATGCAGGGTTGCCGAGTAACAGCATTATCAACACACCTGATGTTTGGCATATTATACTGGCAGAGCTGGAGGATACAGACGGGTTAAATCATGTGGGAAAACCTGATAGTTCAGAGTGGGAGATTACACTCATATGGACTAATAATAAAATACTTGCTTCTATAGTCTGGGACCTTGCCAGCTGCTTTGGAAAGAACAGATGAAGAGAAGGGCTTGTGAGTAATAGTTATTAACAGCAAAAGAGCCACCTGCAAAAGGCATATGTGATGCTAGGATGTGCTGCATATGCTAGTTTCAATAAGGCTATGAAAAATAAACACTTGCTCACCGATGGAGCTTCATCTGAAATTGGTTTGTTGGATGCTTGTGTTCAGGAAAGACTTGTTCAGCTGTGAGAAGTGGAGAACCTGTGTATGAGTTAGTTGCATGAGTGCAGACAGAGTTGCTCCGGCAAGCTTGCCTTGCACTAACGGAGATCCAAAGGTCTACAGAGCACAGCACAAAAACACCTGGGCCGCCTTGGGCTGCCAGCTTGGGTATGAAGGAAGCAAGCTGCATTTGCAGGGTCTTGGGTTGGAGGGAGTAAAATTTTTCTCTTGAGCTGTTAGACAAAGCCTGGCACTGCATGAAAGCGTCTGTAGCGCTTCTGGACCCAAATAGAAGTGTCTGCATGTGCTATGCTATATTGATACTGGTTTGGGTCTCTGGTAGAGCTGGGATCTGTGAGCTGCGGTCCATAGGATACGTATTTCCTAAAAGAGTTGGTACACTTGGGTATGTGGACTGTACTCATCACGGCAGACAAATGATTTAGTGAATCTGGTTCAGGAGAGATGAGTGCAATTGTAAAATCAGGTTGGGGGTAGTGTGGGATTTGGAGTAGGACGCTCAAGCTCTGCTCAGAAGGTCCTTGAAACCGCAGCCGTACTGTGACTTCTTGATTCTCTTTCTGGTGCTCAACATGCAATTGAACCCATGGATGAACTCATTAATTTTCTGATCGCCTCCCATTTTTTTAATTTTCCTTTCATTTTTTACTCCCAAGCAGAGATTGACTGTGAAATCAACTGTAAGAGTAAAGTAATTCCTGTGCCTCGTTTTTGTTGGGAGAAGCCACTTGCTACGGTGCATCTCAGCTGGGCTTCACTTCTCACCTCGTTACACACTTCGTGTTTTCCTAACACTCTCTGTTTCAGTGTTTAACCATCATTAGCTACTTCTCTCTTCTCTCATTCCTGTTTTGGTGCTCTTTTCGTGATTATTCACTCTCTTTTTCTCATCTTGTTCCAGCTTACCATTTAAACTGTTCTAAACTCTCTTTCTTTCTCTTTACCTTTTCTCTCTTCTGAAGTCTCCTGGAGCTCCCCCCATGCCAAATGTCTCTTTTCGTTCCTTCTCTTTTATTTTTGTCTTCCTGTTGGTTGTAAATGTCACTGCCATTTGTTTAAATGCTGCTGCCTTGCTCTGTTTAGGGGCTGTCATACAGGATTTTAGAAACACTTTCCCTCATGACACACGATTTGCTTGTTACCATTAGTGTAGACAGAAGGCTCATTACAAAAAAAAAAAAGTCAAGGAGGAGTCCATTTTGCATGTCGTGAAACACTTGTTTTTTCATTGCTCTTAACATTTTTGGCAGTTCTTTAAACCAAAGGTTGAACTGGAAATGTTATCACAGAACCTAATGAAAAGAAAAAATGGTCACCTTCAAATTTTTTTGGGAAAAAAAAAAAGACACAGTTTTTTTTTCCAGTGGAATATATTGTTTTCAAAACCAAGTCCAGTTTGACAACTTTTTCTCCTCATCCATTTTCTTAATGGCCAGCTGAAATATTTGCAAGGAAAACTGAAGTTTGAACTCAAATGATTACTGGTAGGTGGGGTTTTCTGGCCTTCTGAAAAAATATCTAATATTTAATGGGTACTGTATATAGGCCGTAGGTGATGTTTGAAATTTTGTGGGAGCACCTGCCTTTGCTGATCTATCATGTGCAAAACTATTATGCAATTTTCTGTAATCGCACTGGTTACGTCAAATTCGAGGATTTGGAGGGGTGAGAGGCAAGGCCTCCTTCTGTACAACATGGCTTTTCACTTGTTGATAATTAATAGCAAAGGCACTTCAGGAAGCAGCCTGTCTCTCTCTCTACCAGAGGGAGACAGAGATAGATATAGATAGAGAGATTATATATATATATGCAGGTTTAGTGTTTGCCTTCGCCAACTTGGCAAGTATTTTGGCTGTAGAGAGACTTGGAGTCTTAAGAAAACATGCTATATTAAGACTCCGTGTGGTTTTGTTTATAGGGCTTCTGGAACATTTCAGACTCCAAAACCCAGCTGTTTTCCCTGCCTGTTTTGCTGAAAATAATGTCGATCAGATTTGAATTTGAGTCTTTGTCAACTTAATATAAGGCAGCTTCCCTAGAGACGGTTATCCACGGCTCCCGGTGACTGCCCTCAGCCCATGGGGGAGCGTGTAACTGCGTCCCAGGTCCCTGGGGTGGGCCGCAGGGATGGAGGAGGGAGCCCCAAGCCCACAGCGGGCATCTCTTGCGTGTGGCAACATCCTGTGCAGCAAACCCACTGGTGCTGCCTTGGTTCTGACAATGGGGATGTCAGGAGCATCCTGACACCCCCAGACAGCGTGCTGGGATGGTGTCTTGAGCTTGTGGAAGTATTTGTCTCTTTCCACATGTTTCCACACAAGCACTTAATACTCCTTCAACGAGGGAGTCTGGCGAGTTGTTGAGAAGAGAGGAAGTGAGAAGACAAATGGTGGTGAAAATGGGATGTGAGGTGAGGTGCAGTGCTACTGGTGGTGACGTTTCTCCAAGGGAAAGGGGCTGAGGGGGGAAGTTTGGTGTCTTAACAGTGTTGCAACTGTGGTTATGGAGAACCAGTTTGAGGTAAGCTGAATAAAAAGGCAGGTTGCGTATTTATTTTTGTTATTGCTTATTTTATTTATTTATTTCATTTTCTGTAAAGCGTGAGAGGGTCTAAGTGGAAACATGTAGCAGAAGAAAGGGAAAACCAAACCTAAGCTCACGCAGGACTCGTGCACTCTAGATCCAGGCTGTTTGAGTTCACTGGAAATGCTGGTGGTCCTTTCTTCATGATGGGAAATGGTTCTTTCCTTTGAAGTAAACCAAACTGGTGCTAATGACAGCTCTTTCAGACCAGGTCTGAATGCCAGGTCTCTTGCAATCTTCATGTGAACTTTGTTTAAACAAAACTATTAAATTTTCTCATCTGGCTTCTAGCACGATATTAAAGATGGATACTTAAAAGTCTGTGTGTTTGGGATTCTTCTCCTGTTTTCCAGTCAATTACAATTGTGTTGCTTTTGAATAAGAGGTTGCCAGCAGGGAATACTGAGGAGTGCCAAATTAAAATTCAAATACATTTTGTTCTTTGTTCATGGTGAGAATTATTTCTTCCCTAAGGTTGCTGAGCTCAGAAGGATGTGCTCAGGTTGCCTCTAAACTCCCTGTAACATCAGTTTATTTGAGTTTTTAAGGCCAGCTTAGTGGCTAGCACTGTTGACACCTCCTCGGAGGGCTGGTGTAGCATGAATGTCATGGGCCTTAGTTTGAAAAAGGCTGGAGAAACCTTCCATCTGAGCAATCTCTAGTCCACCGTCTTGGTACCTGGCTGCCTACTAGAGAGGTGTCTCTGGGAAATTGGGAAGTTGCTTATTTTTAACATATGTATTTGTTATGGCCCTGCTTTCTGATAAACAATGCCGAAATGAGACAATGCAAAGCAAAGTGAAAGGGAAATATGGAAGTCAGCCAGCTCTGAATGACTTTCAGTGATTGGCTAGTAACTGATGCTTCACCACCAAGCAAATGTTCTTAACACCTTTTTATATTTGAATATTTACTTCCCAAATCAAGGTTTTGGGTTCATTAGCATGCTATGGATAGCCTCTAGCTGTGTGTGCAAGTCCTATCTCTGTGCCTATTTTGCTTTTCAGGCAATTAGTTTATATTAGGAAGAGACACTAATTGGAGGGGAAAGAAAAGGTAGGTAGCAACATGCCAATGACAATTAAGATAATACATCAGATATTACCTATATAGGTTTTCATGAAAGAAGCTCTTTTCAGATGTCAAGTAAGCCTAATAAGAACTTTAACCCTTGCAAGGTGGACAGTGTAGCATTCCCTACTTCATATGAACGGATAAGATGAAACACAAAGTATATGTTATGTTTAGTTTTACACAATAAATCACAGCCAGAGGTCAGGGAAGAAGAGAGACGTTCCAGGCCCATCAGGAGCCTTGATTCTCTGACAGGTTTCCAGAAGGTGAGCAACAATTACTGAACTTCCTGTGGCAAAACTCATCCATAACATCAGCAATGTAGATCAGGGATTTGGGACACAGGCTGGAAAATAATTGTTAAAAATCTTTGTATTCTCGCTGGAATGAAGGTAATTGCCCATTCTGCCAATGGCTAATTATGTTTGACTTGCTCGTGTCTTGTGGCCCTGAAGCAGAGCCTCCCGAAAATGCTGTAGCAACACTTTAGATGGGGTCCCACTTTTTACAGTCTAACCAACCTTTTTTTCCTTGTTAATCCCCAGAATGCAACAGCAACAACAGCAACGTCGAATGTTCACAGCTGCCCTCCTGGCACTTGTTTTCATTCTGGCAGCTGTGAGTACCACCGAGGCCGGCAAAAAAGAGAAACCAGGTAAGGTCCAATGTGATTCAGAGTTAATCCCCGAGATAGATTGCATGTGTGGGAGAATGTCAAATGCTTCTGGTTTTGTTACGAAATTCAGGTCATTCGTTAACCTTTTGACATACAGGGTAGGGATTTGTGCCTGTGACGTGGTGTTCTATGTTAAATAGGAAAACAGAAAGTACTTTCCATGAAAGCTGGCAGCTTGACAGCCCCAGAGACTGGCGTCCTCAGTTTATCACAGGGTGGGTATTGCAAGGCAGCTTAAAATTTGCTCTGGGAATAGGTTCGTGCTTGACTTAGGGAGAACCAAACAGGAGTGATGAAAGAGCAGTTATCATGTCGCTCGTTCAGTGTTCTATATGACAATGCTACGCCAATGCTGTGTGATGTGGAAATCCTCTGACAAAGAATTGAACTAACTCGCTGCTGCAGAGAGACAGCCAGACATCCAGCGGTAATTGCTTTCTGTCAGTGATGAACTCATACCTCATTATAGGAGAGACAGGCCTGGGGTGGAAAATTCACATCTATCAAACCCAGTTTTGGCGTTTTTTTAAGGAACACATCCTTTGGTGTTTTTCTTAAGGTCTTAGTATTTACAGGCTGCTTACACACCAGTTTATATGACCTGTGAGTCAATCAGAATTAGTGTTCCCATTGGAAAAAAAGGTGTTTCTAACCATTGTGGCTGTATGGAAATATGAGAAAATGTGAACGTAAATATACAAGAGATAGAAGGAAAATAATTTTATATAAGTTTATTTAAAGTTACTTGTGATGTTTTGGGGCCCTAGCTAATTATTTTTGTGAACTCTTGGGTTTGATAACATTGCTATCTTTTCTCATCAGACTTGGATTTAACGATTTAAATGATATCATGATCTTTATTTTTGTCCCTGAGCAACAAACCCACCTGTATTAACAGAATTTCGCGTACAGCTCTCCATGTAGTTTTTTTGTTCGCCTTTGGAGTTTTGGTCATATTCTGACATAAAATGTGACATAGTATACCAAGTGAAAAGTTTGTATCTCACAGCTGTTCCCTGGAAGTGCTCAAATCCTCTGATACACGACATCAACACATACATTTCTGATTTGTATAGTGTGTAGTGCTTCAGCTGGAACTGAAAATATTTGTGTGCCATCAGCTACTGGAGGAGTGTCCTTTCTGAGTGAGCCCTCCTGCATGTTTTGGCCAGTGATCCCTGAGGGTTCCTGGATGATTCCCCATTCTGAAGATGAGAATCCACTCCAGAATATCTAAGTGGACTAGTAAGCATGGTAGTGGGACTGAATTTGAATGATCCACCCTGCTTTGGAGTCAGAGGCTGACCTGTCTCTGCAGAACTGTGAAAAGGATGCCAGACCTTTTGCTTTTGGAGCAATTGTTTTACGAATATCTTCCTTATTCACCCTTTCAGGTGCTGAGACTGTTTCGTGATGGTTAGGGAACGTCTCCGTAGGCTCTGGGTACTGACCGCTTCTCTTGCTTGGGTTTGGTTCCTTGTCTTTGTCCAGAGAAAAAGGCGAAGAAGTCTGACTGTGGGGAATGGCAGTGGAGCGTCTGTGTGCCCACCAGTGGTGACTGTGGCCTGGGGACGCGCGAGGGCACTCGCACTGGAGCTGAGTGCAAACAAACCACCAAGACTCAGAAGTGTAAGATTCCCTGCAACTGGAAGAAGCAATTTGGAGGTAAGCATCACTCTCTCAAGGGATTTGCTTTGGTTTTTACTCAAGTATGGAGCAGGAAGTCTATGTTTTCTGCTTAGCCCCTTGGTGAAGGGGCTACTTCTCTATTTCAAGTTCATCGCAGCTGGAACATGTAAGGCATCAGAAGGCAGCTTCTTCAGAGGAAAGCAGCTCCTCTGCAGAGAGTCCATATAACCTACTTAATGTAAACTCAGTCTTCCAGCAGCATGTTTAAATCTGCTCTCCTGTGGTGTAAAACCCTATATAAGGCAGCAATGTAAGTGTCTCATGTTCTCTCACAGCTGTGAATCTCTGCGATGGTTACCACAGGCTTTACGTGACCTTGTGACATGTGATTTGCAGCATGGAGCATGGGTGGCTACCAGTGTGAGCATTGAAAGGAGCGAATGAAGACCATGTGTATTTCATCTATATTATTCCGTTCAGAAGGTTCATCTGTAACGGTTCAGAAAGATACGTCAGATCTGTCCTGGACAAGATATCTGTCCAGGGCTCAGATCTGATTACTCTTGCAAACTTGTTTTTTTATGTAGTAAACAGCTTGTATGGCTTTGACATAATTGTGACCTTACCAAGGCAATCAGTGCAGCAGTTACAGACTTGACAAGTTCATAGTTGCACATATGTTCTTGAAACTATTCAATCCTTATTTGGTAACCTTTGGCATCACACAAATGGAGGAACAGCCATACAGAATGTGAATGACATTTCCCACTGCTGTTTTGTCTCTCTTTCTTTCTCTTTCTTTCTTTCTTTTTCTTGTGTATCTTCGTAGTTAAATCTATTTTCCTTTGTATGACAATAATGCAATATCCACACAAAAGCAAGAGGATTCCATTTTAAAGCATTTGTGGGGGGACACTGCAATTATCACTGCAAATAATCTTTAAATTTTTCTTGGGATTCCTTTCTTCAGTTGCATGATCCTTTTGTCTACAAGCACTGGCTGTCTGTGATATCCTATTAGACTCATAGCATTTTTGTTTTCACACTCAGTCATTCTGTTTTTAAATTGCTTTTTATTTACTCGTTGCAGCGGAGTGCAAATACCAGTTCCAGGCCTGGGGAGAATGTGACTTGAATACTGCCTTGAAGACTCGAACCGGGAACCTAAAGAGAGCCCTTCATAATGCTGACTGCCAGAAGACTGTCACAATCTCAAAGCCCTGTGGGAAGCTTACCAAACCCAAACCTCAAGGTAAATTCCATCTGCTGAGAGCTGCACACTAGTTCATTTAAATCACTGGATTTGTGATGTCCTACATGCTTCAGTGGGAACTAAATAGTACAGGAGATTCTACTTTCATGGCCTTTCCTCAGTTCTGCACTGCTCCTACCTCCCAGCCGTCAGGCAGACAATATTCCTGAGTTGTGTAGTCAAGGCAGGCTCACACACAAGAGGTGAGCTGAAGATCAGAGCTCCAATTTTAACCTTAGACCACCCGTACTGCTACCAGTTTGCTTATGCTCACTAGACCTCCAGGGTACGGATGCCTTTCATAACTCACCTGTTGACAGGAACAGACCAATAATAGCATGCAAAAACATCTCTCAATAAAGACGCCTTTTGTATAAGGTTTGTTTTGTATTGAATAATGACTAGTTGAAAAAGGGACTGCTTTCCTTCTGGACGGGTAGTATTGAAGGGATATTTTGCTCACTGCATGTTGAAAAGAGGGTATGTGGATGTTTTGCGCTCTTGGGATTGTATATTCTTTATTCAAAGATAGCAGGAAGGAGAGTATGGAATGTATATGTCTCATTTAAATGCCAGTGACAGTGTAATTCCTAGTACACAGAAAGGCATATGCCCTGCATTTGTGTTTCCAGGTGTCCCTTAGACAAACTTACTTTCTTTCTAATCATTAAAGCCTTTTAATGTACTCTTTTGTTGGAGTAACAGGTGTTATGTGTGTAGGATGATTTATAGTGGGAGCTAAAACTGTGAGATCTTGTTTGAGATACAGAAGTAATGTGTTTTAAGTGGATTATACAAGCTATGCTACCCTGGCATTTGTTTGCTTAAAACCAGCTACGTTTAACACATTCCAGGCTCTGAATACGTGGATATGTATAAAAATAAATGTGATTAGGAGTGACAGGTGCAACTTGGACCAGCAATTTTCAAATTGTGGATGGTGGTGCACCATTGATCTGAGGGGTACCTGCAGGTGGCCTGCTCCGCTTGTGCAACCAGAGACGTGTCTGATGGTTGCAAATGCTTTCTCTGTGCGTGCATGCATCCATCTGCTTTGCAGTCAGTACAGCTGTAACTGGTCTTCCTCGCACATCATCCATGGAGTTACCAGATAAGCACTGAGTCTAGAACCTGCGTAGATAATGACAAGCTGTGAAGTAGAAAGGATACAACTAGATTTTGAGAGACCAGCTGACTTGGTTGAGTTGGCAGCAATAAACATCTTCATTTGGGGATGGAAGTGACTGGGTAGGAATGCGGGAAGGGCTTTGAGCTGTGTGATTTTATTGTTTATTAGTTTGGGGGGAAGGACTTTTTTTTGTTTGGGTTTTTTTTTTTTTAAGTTTCCATGCCTAAGTGGCATTTGGGAGTTTATTGAATGAAGCTTCCTATTGTGCTGCCAGAATGCCTCTGCTGCTCGAGCCACTAGTAGCCCTCTGCCTTGTTCTGCTCCCGCTGAGTCAGTGTAGTCTGTCAATAGCTGTCAGAAGAGGGGAGAGGGAGACAAAGCGGAGCGTTGGTGCAGCATCATTTTGTGAGAGCAGTGCTGTTGGGTAGTACAGGGTCGTTTTCAAGTTACGGTTTTAAAGGTAGAGCTTGTGAAATTACTGGGTTGGAGTTAACTTCAACTGATTCTAGATTTGAGTGAGTTATAGCTGAGACTGAAACTTGGACTGGGGCTGACTGCAGCAAACATAGTTACGTGGTTTGACTTAATTAGGAAACCTGACTTCATTTGATTTGAAGGAATGCAAAAGGAGAAATAGGTACAAACGTAGGTTTGTGATCATAATAACTGTGGGCAGAAATTCTGCTCTCCTGATTTGTGTTAGAAATCTCACGGCATCTTCCTGCATGCCACCTGCTCGTTCATCTGCTGTTGGCTTTAGTAGGAGCAGCACGCATGGAATTCACACACTTGCAGCCTGCCTGGGCCCTGAGCTAAGACAAGAAATCCATATTGCAAATCTGTGGGCATAACTACATAGGAGCTACACGGGACAGTATATTGGCAGCAGTAGGAGGGACTAGAGTGTAAGAAATCAGGTCAAGCAGATTAGTACTGTGTGAAATGTTGTGCCCTACTGAACTTTATTTCTGAATTAAAAATCTGAGTGCTGACATGTTAGCTGGAATAAGAGTATTTGTTTTCTTCCTGAGGTGAAGGAAATTACAGGTTGGAGGATAAGTCCCAACCCACATCTAGATAAAGGAAAAATTAAACTGTATCCAATCTATAGTTAGAATAGAACCCAATTTAATTCTTTGGAGATGAGAAGTAAGATCTAGATTATTGTCTGAGCACTTGGAATGGACTGCAGGAACCTATTAGGCTCCCTTTTCACCCATAGCTTTGCATCAGTGGCTTAAGACTGCAAGAGAAAAAGCATATGATATGTTATTTGGAGGCAGCAGTCTTTTTCTGAGGCATAGAGTTGCATAAGGTCTGCATTGATGTGCAGCTAGACCTGTAAATGCTGATCAAGTGCCGTATGTTCCTACTGTGATTGCCTGGAGTGGCAGGGCACTGGCTCTGGCATTTGGGAGCTCTGGCAGCAGAATAGTAAGTGAGGGGCTTATTGATTACAGGAGTCTGTTCTACCCCTAAGCGGTTACCTTTCTGACTGGTGTGTGCTTCAAGAGCTGCATCACTGAATACATCTCTCACAGCAATAGGTTGGGAGTACCAAAAGCAGATATGAACTGACCGAAAATATTGCACTGAAAAATACTAGTATATTCAGAAAAAGGGTTGTTTTCATGATTTTCCTGACTAACCCCCTTTCCCATGCCCGGAAATTTTCCTTCTATTAGGTCGTGTTCATAACCTCTCCATTACATCACTTTTCCTTTTGCTTTCATATTGTAAATGGGGTGAGTAAAAGCCCCTATTTAGCTTCTCCAATCAATTGTAGTTCTATATATCTTCTGTTACTTCTTGTCACTTGCCAGCTTTTAAAGCTAAAACCTCTGACTTAAGTATTTTGTTGTATAACAATTTATCACAATAAGAATAGTCTCTACTGGACTTACCTAAATTCCTTCTATTATTGCTAAATAATTTCTGAGATGAAGCTGCTGGACAGTACACAGTATTCCAAGCATGTCCTCTACAGATTTGTGTTGAAAAGAAAATATCATTGTAATACTTCCTTTATTGTTCATTACACCCACTAAATAACCTAAATATGTTTTTCTTTTGATCACTGCTTGCATGTGGATCAGATATCTTTATCTGAGACCTTCACAATTCTCCCCAACTCCTACATTTTTTTAAAATGTTAATTAATGTGGTTAGTTAAGAATCCAAGAAGGTGTGTGGGTAAGGCAGATTATTTTATCTAGGCTTGCCCAATGAAGTATCAGATTTCACCTGACACATTTCCCTAGTGTGGCTTGGTGTCTGAAGTTTCTCCCCACCTTCTCTGTTCTTTGAGAAAAATGCAAATAAATAGATGTTATTTGTAACTGCTGGTCTCCTGTTGCTTATCCGCCTTTCCCGCTCATGAACATGCAGCAACTTTGCTGGTAGGATGAACCCTGTGTCTCTCTCCTCTCACCTAACTGTTTGGAAGATGTCTGCTGTTTCATAGAAGTTTGATCTATGCTTAACAGAAAGCAAAATCATACCTGCAGAAAAATCCCAAGGGTTATCATTTTGCACATTTGCTGATAAAAAGTATATTTTGGTTTTCCAGCAACTTCTATAAGCTGTGGCAAAAGTTCTGCTAAATTAAACCAGGAGATACTCATTAACCTTGGGAATCAATGCCTGCCTCATAAACTGGTGATCGAAGTGTTCTTATGGATTTGTTTTATCACTAGTCAGCATTCATGGAAAAGCCTTGAAATCTTTTTGAAGCACTCTCATTAGTTTGGAAACCAAAGAAAAAAAACTTATTATTTTTTCCTTATTAGCAATTACTCTCTCTCAGTATTTTTTCTTCTGAGCAGTTGACTCTAAGTATGGATTGTAGTCTGCGACGCTTGGGCATTTTGGAGCTCACTGCTTGCAAGAGGAGAATTATTAGAGAAACTCTGCTGTATATAGAATTTAAGGGGGAGAACAGATGATGAATCAGGAATTTGAATTTTTTCTGGATTTCTGATGAGCTCTTTTCTCCATAGCTTTGCTGAGGTGTTCTCAGATTGGAAGACAATAGCTTGGTCTTGGGCTGCTGTGCTAAAGTATAGTTAACCGAGGATGAAAACTGTCGTCCGTTCTTGAATTCTGCATTTGGACAGAGAGATTGTCAGCAACGTGACAGTGATATCCCAGACACCATGGTTTGTGTATTTAGTACACAAATGAGGTCATGAGAAAGCCTGTCACAAAGGGTGGAAAGGATGAAAGGATAATTTTTATCACAAAATCCCAGCGGAGGCAGCCACCTCTCCTCTAGCACACACAATTGCGTATTCTAATCAGTGTCTGCAAGGCCAGGGATGTTCAAGGTCTCCCTAAACTATCTTGACAGATGTGAAAGACTCAGGCACTTCTGTCGAGTGGCTGCTCTAATGGCCAACTTGCACTGAAGAGCAGAAAACGCTTCCGACATACTCCATCTGGCCTACTTCGCGGCCACCCAAGCTTGATTGATGGTTGTTCCGGTTCCAGCCCGCCAGAAAGTAAAAGAATGGGGTATTGTCAGGATTCAGGAAACATTTTGCTTTAACCGCTGAGAGAGGAGGAATTTATTTTTATTGAGCTGGGTTGCCTGATAAGCTTTATTTTTTCCGTCACTCTCATTCTTCCTCTCTCTCTCCCCATATCTCTTGTACTTTTAGCTATTTATTCTCCTGATTAAGATAAAATTAAATAGAATAAGCAGTCTGTCTGCTCTTTCTGCAATGTACCCTTCGTTTTTTGAATTATGCTCCTTTTTTCTCTGACAACTTTTTCACCCAGCTGTATTTAGTTCTTTTTAATAAATCTCCCTTCCCAACTTTGTATCAATTTACAGTATATCTAATCTATGAGTTACTTTATTGTGGCTCAG